ATTTTAAGAATGTGATTGTATGGTCCAGCAGACCCACCAGATTGGAAACAACGGTTCATTATCAAACCAATTCATTAAAACATTACATCACTACGATTTTATCATATGATATTCAAGCAATAACATTGTGGTTCGATATAATTGAAAAATGGTCAAATCGAATCTAACTCAAGTGGTTAAGACATCTATCTCTGACCAAAAGGTCATGAGTTTGAATCCCCACATCACATGTTGTACTAAAAAAAGATATAATTGAAGAAGGAAAAAAAAAAAAAACTTTGTCCAATTAAAATGCACATCTTTACCTGATAAATGGATGACTCATTAATATTTATTAGCTACGATGAAACTAATCATAACATATATTTAATTTTATGTTAATTACTTCTATTTCGGATGTGATTATTAGCTACTACATCATGTAACATTGCATCTGATTGTCTCGACTTAAATAAAGGAGTCATTTCCTTTTAGACTCTGCTTCGACTTAATGATATATAGCTCTATAATTTGATATGGAATTCAACTCTTCAATTTAAAGCACGTTTTTCTTTTATGGTGGGAGGAAGACTCAAAATACTAATAATAGTGAGTTGATATTAAGTGCACGAGCTTTCAAATCCTACCACATTTTAATTACTTCCCAAATTGCGGGAAAACTGATGGTAAATTTTAAGCATCCACACTTTTTTCTCTTTTGGCTATATATATGGTCTTTTATTGATTAAAATGTTTAGTTAGTTACATTGGTTTTGATTACTTTCAATTGTATTGTATATTTAAATATTAGTGAATTTAAAATTATAAATTATTAAGGGTGCATTTATTTGGTAACCTATCAATAAAAATATCAAAACAAGAAATCTCAATATATTTATAAAATAGTGGGAGTTACCAACTAAATATTTAGTTCGTTCTAAAATAATATTAATTTTGTTGAACAATTATTTTACAATATCATATAATTTAATTTATAATATATTATACTTACAATTTTTTAAGTTTAACAAGAATAAAATTAGTTTATAACATGTATATATATCTATTTTTTTAATGTAAAGGCATATATTTATTTTAATGTAGTTTTGCATTTTAAAGTTTCAAATTCAAATTGGAAATTTGTTTTCAGAATTTATACTATTTCAAAATTTAGAAAAAAATTTTAAAAACAAATATGTGAAATAGATATTCCAACTCCCAAGAAATGCTTATTTAAAATAAATTTAAACAAATTATAAGTTATTTGTAAATGGAGATGGAGATTGAAAATGCTTGTTACCTAACCAAACCCTACCTTGGTCTTGACTATAGTTGAAGAGGTTAGCAATTACTTAAAGAAAAATACTTGACTTAGAGAGTTTTTTTTTTTCTCCTTTCTTTTCAATGACTTTTAGAGTAGATAGAGTTGAGGTGTATGCAAAATAATCTAAAATAAACTAAGTAAAATAATAATAATAATAAATAAATAGACAAATTTACTTTGTTTAGTTAAAAAAAAATAGCAAAATAGGTCAACCTCAGTATAGCTTGGTTCAGACATATATTTCCATACAATTAGTACCTTCTTTAAAGGAGGAAGAAATCACAAAATCTTATAATTTACGATCAAGTCATTCAATATTTCATTTTTTAGAGAATAAATTCTCACATTTAAATTATGTGTCAGATGTATTATTAATACCCTATCCCCCATCTGGAAATTTTAGTTCAAATCTTTTTCATTTATTACGGTTCTTTTTTCACGAGTATTGTAATTGGAATAGCCTTAGTATATCATTGATCAAAAGATTGATGGAGATTATGTTTTAAGAATTAAAAAAAAATCTTCACAAAACAAAGAAAAATACTTAAAAATAAACATAACTTTTAATAAGACTAAAAGAAAGAAAAATATTATTAGAGTCCAATTTTATTTTTGATTTCTAGAATAATTCTTTTCACATTCTAATCAATTTGGTCCACCAAGTTGAATGTGAAAGGAACCTTAATTAATGGATTATGATACTCAATTAAATCTAGACAAAATATAAAGCAACATAATTCGACTATTCTATTTGCTCCTCAAAAGAAGAGGAAACATTATCTCAAAAGAAAAAAAAAAAGAAAAAGAAAACCCTAATGGTCCATTTGGGAATTTTCTACAAAGCTTGAAGGCGAATGGACATACCAAAATGGAACCCACAATGCTGTTGAACGGTGTTTTGAACGAGGGGGGTTTTTTTTTAATTAATTATTATTTAATTTGACAATATGCTCAATGGCTATCATCAAAACAGAGCTTCCACTTTAGGGCACTGCTTACCTGCTTTCCTTGGTGGGAGATGTTTTTTCTTCAGTCAATAATCAACGGAAAACGGGTATTCTGACGAAACATAGACTTTTTTTTTGGTAGGGAAAGGGCAAAACCCCAAACAAACTAAAAGAAGAAACGGTTAGGAGAGCGCATTGATTTTGTGTAAATATCTAAAAATGGTTGGGCTGTTTAAATATTTGTTTCTGTTACCTTATTGTTATGAGGTCGTGATATATTGTATAAATCTCTGTCTTTGATCTTTTGTTGAATGAGAATGAGGACATATCATTTGTGATCAGTTTCTTTTATCTCTAGACTATTTCTAAGCATACTTAGAAATTTAAGAGAAACAACGAGTTTGGCATGACTGAAACATAGTCAACAAAAGACAATAACAAAGATCTCTGGGGTCAAAGCGAGTATAGCTCAACGTAATTGACATATATCTTCAATCGAGGTTGTGAGTTCGATTCTCCACCCTCCATGTTGTACTAAAAAAAAGAAAGACCTCTAAGAATCTCATCACAAATATAGACACTTAGAGGAAAAGAAGCTGCAAATTTGGCAAGCCAATTCGATAGTGACTATTAAATCTTTCTTAACTATGCTTCCGTGATCTCAATATCCCTCTTATTTGAATGTGGTAATGGTTCATTTATGTACTCCTACTTTCTATTCTGACATTATAGAAACAATCCAATCGAATGAGCTGATGAATACTAGAGGACAGAAAGAAAATCCAAAATACCTTAATGCTTCACGAGAATATTATAAACCACTTGAAAGGCCTCAACCAAAACTTCTCTTTTTTTATCTTCCAAATGTAGTATAATTAATTCAAAAATTAAACAAAAGTATATATATATATATATATATATAGACACACACACACACACACACTAGGACGGCCATTTAATTATTTTCTAAAGTTCAATTCACTTTTTGAAAGAAAGTATGAAAGTAATTTCATTTCCGTTTTTTTTTTACCAATTTAATTAGAGCGAAAAAAAACAACGTTGCATTTGATAATTTTATATTTTTTTATTCTGTATTTTTTCCTTTTAAGTTTCATTTTAAAACTTAAATTTAGGTCAAATTATTCTCTTTCCTTCCCATTTCTTCATGTTTATGTTTAATTTTCGAAATAGTATTGTTATAGAGAACAAAAACGACCCGAAACGAGACAAGAAATGGAAGCCGAAGATCATTGACTGGGAAGACCGGCCCGCGATGTAACGAGCCGACCTAAAGGACGACCTAGCATCGAGGCTGTCATAGCGCCTCGGTGCCGACCCCACCTTGACATCGAGGCGCCTACTTCTCAACAGTCGCCTCCGGGTCAAGATACCATGTGGGCCTCCTCCGCTTGGATCTACATCAGGAGGTTAAACACACTTATTCGAGGTCGAGATCGATCATTGGGCCTCACAACTTCGAATTAGGGCTCAACTACAGAAGGTTCTGGAACCACCCTCACAACTATAAACAGCAGTGCAGCCTAATCTTATAGGGGCAAGTGACTTATCTCTAGCTCACTAACTCTCCCTCGCTAACTTAGGCATCCGTATCAGCAAGGGTTCTTATATTTAATATTTTATCCTTTAAGGGTTCTTATATTTAATATGCAATTTATGGACTTTTTTTTTTTTTTGACAATTGTAATATAGTTGTTAGACATGAAAAAATGGCAATTTGAAATAAGGGCTGTGTCATTTCGAGACTCGAGAGTACATTTGGTTTGGTAACAGAACTTTTCATGGGGCCGCTGTTTCTGTGGGCTTTCTCTCTCAGTTTTTCAGTAGGCCCATTAGGCTTTCGGATATAATGTAATGTAAGTCGTATATTTATACTTTAGTGAATTACATCTACAGTACTTAGAAATTTGAATTCTAATTGTTCCTAAATTTTGAGTTATGATAATTTAGTCCCACAGCTTTTGAGAGCAGATGTTTGAACTCACGATCTTTTAATTTGAGATATATGTGATTTAATCTAGTTGATATGATAAATTTATATGTATATAATATATACTGTTTAATTTTAGATTATTTTATTCATTATGGACATGAAAATATTATTAAAATTAAAATATAAAAAATTTCATCTTCTCACCTTCTCTCATATCACGTTTGAATTCTCTCGTCTTCCCTCATCATTCACTCCTTGCTTCCCAACCCCCCCTTCCCACGAACCACGTTTTCGTCGCCTCGCTCTCATTCTATGATGGACCATGTTGCTGCCACCGTTACCCCAATTGTCGTCGTCTGGAATAAAGGTGAAGGCGTCTTCGTTCTAGATATGTTTGGAAAAAGAGTTCATTTATTTTAGATCTAGAACAAGACATTCGTTCTATATTTGAAACTAAGGTGGAGGTGTTTTCGTTCCTCGTGTACACATAAAATTACCCCGACATATTGCTGTTTAAAAAATTAATAACAATCTAGAACCATTTAAAATCATTTTCAAAATTGGTATGTTTTGTTGACTCGTCTATTTACGAGTGGAGCTTAAAAAAAACCAAAAAAAAAAAAAAAGGGAAGGACGAGGACGAGCTAAAAATAGAAAAACAAGGGAAAAGGAAGAACACTACACGGAGAGCAATAAGCGGAGCTAAAAGTTAAATAAATAAATAAATAATTCATTAAAAAAAATCGATGCCTATAAAAAGACCGTTTTAATTTCGATAGCATAAAAATATCAACTTAAAATATCAAGTTAGAGAAAAAATATCAATCACGAGAAGAGCAGATTCTCTGTAATTCACAGGAACGTGAGCAGTAAGCGAGAGTATGCTGCGTGAGTACGTAAAGTAAACCAAAGCCCAAGGTTAAAGGTTTCGATCGAAGTCAATTGTTCGAACTCCAAGGTTTCAGTCACTGCAAGAGAGCTCTGAGGATCTGCTTCATCGCGCAGCACAGAACAATCGGAATTCGGCCATGAACTGTCTTCAAAACCTTTCACTGTCCGTCCGAAGTGAAGTCATCATTTACTTTCCGATTCCATCAGCTTCCAACAATTTCATCATTTACTTTCCTCTTCAAATTTCAGATCATCTACTTTGCCTCTGCGAAGCTTCAAATGCCGGAAGATAAAGCCTGAATTCCAGCTCTGCAAACTGGTACGCTCGTTCGCGCCACATTCTATATGTGAAGCTTATCTATTCCGCTTCTGTGTTATTTGTATTGAATGTTGTTTTGTTTGATGCAGGTAATGAGGAATTTTACCGATCTACATCGCCGTTCTCTTGTGAAGGTAGCTATAAAGAACCTGTGATTACGAGATTTTCTTGAACATTTTCTTTTATTACGATCGTTCTGTTAGTTTCGTGTAAGTGCTTATTTTCTTTGATCAGTTTGCCGATTGAATTTATAGCTCTCTCTAAGGCTTGGCCTAGTTGTGAACTATATATTGTTATCATCTTTCGGAAATGTAGCAAGTCTTACGGCAAATTAGTCAGTTTAGTCATCCGTAGTTTTGGTAGCTTTAGATTACTGGTTCTTACAAATAATAGATATTTGAATAATGACTCGTTGTCTACAGGCAGTACCTGGCTCTACATCAAATGCCGAAATGAGTGGCGCTGAGGTGAATGATGCTGAGGAAAAGGAGGAAAAATCTGAGATATATAGTCATAACATGACAGAAGCCATGGGTGCTGGTGAGAGCCGTTATCATGCGATTCCACTTTGAACTGGAAAATGCCTGTGCAGATGCGAATATTTGTAATTAAATTATTTGGATGTCAGAATTGGTTGAATGACTAAGAAATTAGAAATTTATTGCCATTTAGAGAAGAAAATTGATTTTCTGTTATGCGCTGAAATCGCAATTTGCTTAAAATTTTGAATTCAAGGGTGCAAGATTGCAGGTTGATTGATCTAATCTGCTAGTTTTCTTCATCGTATAGCTAGAGCTTAGAGAGATGCTTGCTGAGTTTTTACTCTTTAGTTGACTAATCTGATTCCTTTTTGACCTCTATGATATAGTATTGACATATAGACATGAGCTGGGAATGAACTACAACTTCATTCGTCCAGATTTAATTGTAGGATCATGCCTACAGGTGATCATTGTTTTTGACATTTTTCAACATGTACATTTTTTTATGCATTAACCATCTTATAATTTAATTCTAATCCAATTACGTCATGTTAGACTCCAGAAGATGTTGACAAGCTTCGCAGCATTGGAGTAAGAACAATTTTCTGCCTGCAGCAAGATCCAGATTTGGAGTATCCAAATTTCAATTCAGTGGCAATACTTTCCTTAATGTTTCACTTAAGAAAATTTCATCATACCTATGTACGTTTTACTAAATGGTTGATATTTGAGAAATTCTAACAAAAGTAGAGAGTTCCATAGATGAAGTGAAAAATGCTAAATTTCCTTCACCGTATTGGAAAGATATTTTGGAGTTGACATTGGTGCCATAATAGCATATTCAAAGACGTATGATGATATTGAACATTTGCGTGCTCAAATAAGGTCAGAAGAGGTTTGTTATCTTTGCTGTGCTTTCATGTAAACCCGTAAACCTGTAAAGCATATGATTCTTTGAACTTTTGGGAGATATTAAATACTAGAGTATGATGCAGCATGATGTCAATGCAGCGTTTCAAAAAGTTAAAATATAGCAACAGGCAATACATTTGAATATTTGGAGCTGTTACCTATATATTTTCTGATCGTATGATCTATAGAGTAGTTATTTGCACATCTTTTTGACTTTACATGTTAGTGGAAACGAGATTTCCCATATGATTTTCATGCCCCCATTTACAGCCATAGAACATATACTCCCTGAGGTATTTCTTGTTTGCTCTAGTATCTCCTTGGTTAAGCCAGTCCTACTGTGGGTTTCCAAGCTACCTATCTCAAAGTTTGAATCGTTTTCTTATCTTGCCTGAAAGATTCTATAAAATCATCATTGAACTCTTTGGACTTGATGTTCTCTTAATTAATCGAAAGAAATATTGAAACCTAATCTACCTAAGTACACCTATCTCAGATCCATATCTTTAGACTCACCTTTTGGCCTGTTTTTAGCTTATTATACTAAACATATTTATTAACACACTCAATCTCATGCAAGCACGAGCATGCATATGCATGATCATATTTTTAAGCATGTTGGCATTTTGCTCTCTATGACGGCCGGCTAAGGTCTGATGCAACAGGGATTTTGATGCACACGATCTACGGCTAAGATTACCAGCTGTTGTAAGCAAATTACATAAAGCCATTAACCGAAATGGTGGAGTGACTTATATACATTGCACTGCTGGACTTGGAAGAGCTCCTGCTGTTGCGGTATGCAGATTGGCTTGCTTCTAGAAATAAATAGCTATACTGTACAAATTACTTGTTTGGTAGAATATGATGAATTTCAACCAAGTACAATAATGCGTGAAAGATTAAAATCTCTCCTGAGAAAGGTTGTCTTCTTGGTTTTTGTGTGCTGTTTCCTAATTCGCTCCACTTAAGTTTTGTGAATAGATAAATGTATCTGTGCAGTTCTTTTTGTCGTTGTTTCTTGTTGATTATTTCAGCCTCTATTTAATCAGTCCCACTCTTCTTTGCCTTGTCGATGTTTTGGCTATTTGCTGACATTTCAATACTTTTGCATGCAACTCCTAAGGATGTATTGTGCTGGATAACTGGATGCGAGATTTGAAGCATCACATAAATGTCTGTGCTTTTTTTGGATCTGTTTGAGATAGTTTAGGTCCAATAAGAGTGTTAGTTTTTGGTTGGCAGTTCTTACTCAACATCATGTGTACCTTTTGCCTTTTCCTTTATTTTAATAAAAAAAACTGTAGGGTTTATGTAGATTACCAACTACGGTGATTGTATTTGATTCCAACTTCTTTAGCTTTATGGATTAAATCCCTTTGTTTTCTTGGCTGCCAACTATTGTTTCTGTTATGATGTTGAAAAATTGAGGTTAATTAATATCCTAACTTTTACAAGCAAACATTTTCAAGGTTGTTGTAATAAGAAATTTTATTATGACCATTTTAATTGGAGCGAATGTTAAGGTAGGATTTTGAACCTGTTCGTGTAAAATAGCTTTGGTTATTAGTTCTTTTGTATTTGGAATACTAGCTATATCATTTGGGTCTGCTGGAGAAAGATGAAAATTCATCATGAATCTTGGTCTGCAAGTCGAGTAATTGTATTTCTTTCCAATTCTTAGAGAGATTATTATGCTGCCTAATAAAAGATGTCAAACAATTATAACCTCTGAAATATATATGTGCGAACGTGTATGTTTGTATTTATGTTTTACAGAAATCATGTTTGACTATATAAATGAAAGTACAATGGCATTACAGATAAATATTTGACCCCTTTTGTTCCTTATTCTAAATTGAGGAAATTGAGATCCTAGGGGTACTTGAGAAGTTCTATTTTATATGGGAATTCTGTGGAAATTTTGAATCTTATATTAGTTTATCTCCAGCACAATTTTAATCATTGATAAATATGCTGATTAACTTCTTACCAACTTTTGAAATATTTTACGGACTACAGATGGCATATATGTTCTGGGTTCAAGGCTACGGACTCCATGAGGCTATAGAACTACTGCTGGTAAATTTCCCTTTTATACATTTAGTGCAACGAGTTAGAAACCTTCTATTGATTAGATTTACTCTGTGTATTTCTACTCTTATCTGTTTGGATTGGAAAAATAGGAGTTCTGAAACATTCTATACTTCAGTAGAAAATGCTGTGTTAACTCATCAACCAGTTCATATTTTATCATCACTAGATGGAAGTTGATCAATCCTTTTGTTTAATAACGGACACTGTATTAACCAATGAGTCATCGAGTTTCTTGACTTGTAATCCCTGTTACAAGTTACAACGTAGGATATTATATTCAAAGAAAGAGTTCTATTTTTTAAGTTCTAAAATTTTAAGATTGAAACTATTGTGAGAATTGAAACTTCGGTGAGGTATCAATTGTTTCCGTAGCATTTCTCAGATATTTGGACAAGTTTAGTCCTCTTACCTTGATCCACAGCAATCTTTATATCGTGAAGTGACAACATTCTCCCATTATTGACACACTCATTCATTACAGGAGCAGTGAATGTTTTCATTAAATCTGTCATGACTCGTGACTTAAAATGTTAGGAGTAAAAGTACTGATCTCAAACTATAGGCTTCTCTATGTTAATATGCTTGGATTTGCTTTCTTGCAGAGCAAACGCTCATGCTTCCCCAAAATAGATGCTATTAAAAGTGCAACTGCTGATATTGTAAGTATTTATATTTTCTTAGTTATTTGAATGATAGTTTACGTCTCTTGGGTTATTTTTTCACCTCTAAAGCTGCAGATGCATTGTTTCATAATTGTTCTCCGTGGGTGAGTTCTTTAGTGAAAACAACAAAACCATGGCAGTTGTTTGTTAGTAGAAGTACTGGGAATTCTAATCTGGAATGAGCTCGGCTTAGGGAGAGGGACCGGGCCTCTAAGTACCTCGGGGTCCTGTAATTGAATGAAGCCACGGGAGCTCGTTAATTGGGTAAACTGAAAATGCATACAGGAGCCAGGAGAGGAGCTATCAATTTCTGTTTATTTTACTGCATCCTAAGAGGTGCTAGGAGGTTGGTTACTGTGAGGCAGTAATGATAGGAAGAGGCTACTTCTTGACTCAAGTTTTATTCCTTATTGAGTTATAACTTCTAGGGAGCAATCATCTCTTGGCTTACAGTTATAATGTGGTACGAAAGTGATTCACCAATGTATTTTACTTAAAGCTTTCAGGATTTCGAAAGAAGCTTGTCACTTTATCGTGGAAAAATGACCAATGCTCAACTGTAGAAGTATCTGGACTTGACATTGGATGGGGCCAGGTAACAATGTTTCTTTCTTTCTTCCTCCTTCACCATCCTCTTGATGTTCAGTACTTCCTTGAATGTTTGATTTAGTTTTGGAAAACAGTATACGCATAACATAATTCCATCAGAGACCTCTGTATTCCTTGAAACGATCTGATATAAACCAAAGATTTGATTAGAATACAGCCTATCAGACGCTGGAGAGATCTGATACATTAAATTCCTTCTTGGCCCTAAACTAATTTCCCAAACCTCCCCTACTTTCCCTATATAGTCCATTAAAGAATTGCAAAATAAGGGTCCCACACTTACACCAAAAACACCCTTACCTCATCGTCCTGGTGCACGCATACCCGACGTTCCCTTAGTTAGATCTAAATTATCAATTACTTAAGGCAGCATTCAGCTCCCTTCCCCACAGGGTTAAGTAAACGGATGATTACCGATCTCCATTACATCAATCTTATAATCGTCTTCAGTATCTCCCTTAGTCAACTACTAGGAACCAACATGACTGTCAGTAACTAGGATTTGAATCATCTTGACACTTTTACTTGTGGATGGTTTAAAGTTATGGTATTAGCCTATTTGGCTTTGAGACGTCTCAAGTTGTGGCTTAGACCACTGTTGGATACTAAACAAAATATAGAAGGAAGGCTTGTTAGTTCTTGGAAAATAACAACAAATTTTTAGAAAATTATTTCGAATAACATTGCATCATCGAAGCGATGCATGCAACATTTTCAGAAGAGATATTCATTTGATAGTGATTACAATTTGTGAGCGATGCCATAAAAGTTGAAATTAACTTGTCTCTGTGACTTATTACACAGATTGCTCTTTTTCCCTCGGATTATCATTGAAGTATGGTTCATATTTGTTCTAGTATACTATGGACTATCATATTAGTAGCATCACTGATCAATTAAGTAGGCTTGTCAACTCAGTTCTTTCATGGCCAACTCACCTTTTCTTTTTTTTTTTATTTATGAGAAACACAAGAAAATATATACAAAGACACCCCCAAAAGAAGGGTGGGAAGTACAGCCTAAGGGCGGAGGGTAGAGGTAACCCTCCCCCAAGAAGAACTATACAATTACGGACTTCCAATCTTGTATAATCAAAAGGAGACTGTAGTTACAAAAAACCTTCTCGTGGATTGTTGCCCACCAAGAAGTCGTATGCTTAATATTGACACAAAAAGAATCTACGGAGGCCATTTTTCCAATTCTTCACCTAATTGTACCGGAACCAGACATATGACGTATATCTCTGTATCATGGACCAGTCTTGAAGATCTCTGTTGGCTCTACTCTAGGTTGTATTTGAGTGATACGACCAAAATTAGCTAATGTCAAAATCACTTCCATTTTCATTGATCATGTTTGGTAAATTAAAAAATTGATTTTAGGAAAGTTTATTTAAGGTATCATTTGGACGATGATTTTGAAAAATCAATTATACTTAAATCTTTTTTTTCAAAGTCACTCATTCTACCATCACTTCCGAACACCCTTACTTGGCTCAACTTTTGAACTTGTCCTCGACTGTACTGTGTGTCTTTGCATAGTTCATTACGTTACAATTTGGCTTTACTTCATAACTCACAATAGCAAGCGAGAGAACTACTCAGGCCAATTTTCTGTGCAAGCTCAATTTAAACTCGCAACTATACCTAGTGTTCGAAAAATGTTGAAAATTCTGACAATCAAGACTATCCTGCTTGGTAGTAGGATGCGAACCACAGTTGATGTGATCGTGTATTAATGATGTGAAATAGAAAGTGTTAAGAGTTATTGTTAGAATTAAGCTCAACGCTTCATTATTCCATAACTGTTGCTAAATTCCACGGTCAAATTAGAAACGAATGATTAGCCTATTTTTGATGGATTTAAGAATTTTCAACAACTTTTACTGGTAGGAAATTGTATTTATTGTTTAATCTGTGGAACCTTTTTTTTTTTCAGAGGATTCCATTAAAATTCAACGAGGAACGAGGTGCATGGATTCTCAACAGAGAACTGCCGGTATGACAATATTCGTGAGTTGATTTGAATTTCGATATGAATTTAATAATTAGGATGGAGTTGTTTGTTTTCTATTTAACAGGAAGGGCGATATGAATACAAGTACATCATTGATGGTGTATGGACATGCAATGAAGCTGAGCTCGTCACTCCTCCCAACCAAGATGGCCACGTCAACAATTTCATTCAAGTACGTTCTAGATAATTTCAATCTTATAAATGAAATAATTCCAGCTTTTTTTTTCTTCTAACGTTATTTTACTCGTACTTAGTTTCCTTCGCATGGGCCAATTCTAGTTCCAGAACTTATGGATTTGTGTCCAATAGATTTTTGAACTTTAAAAAAGCTTTTAATTGATCTCTAAATTTTAATAGGCTGAAAGTCTTTCGGCTACTAGACACAAAATTTTAATTTGAGGTACTTTACAAAAGCTTTTAATTGATCTCTAAACTTTAATAGGCTGAAAGTCTTTCGGCTACTAGACATAAAATTTTAATTTGAGGTACTTGATATCTTTCAAGTTTAGGAATTTATGGGACATAAAATTAAAAATTTTAGAGATTTGTAAGACACTTTGGACTTATTATGTATAAACCTTGAAACTTTAGAGACTAAACTCGTAATTTAACAATTTTCTTTTATTCCTATTCTAATAATGAAAACTTGATTTCTTATTTAAAAACATTTTTTTTTTGTTGTTTTTTCCCTCCTTTTTCCTTTTTAATTTTCCAGGTTGTTGATGATGATCCAAGCAGTGAAAGAGCAATTCTTCGGGGGAGGTTAAATGGAGATGAACCAGAGCTCACGGCCGAAGAAAGAAGCAAAATAAGACAATTTCTTGAAGCTTATCCAGATGAAAATTGAATCAAGGTATGTTGCTTTGCAAGTGTCATCTATATTATATAATATATATATATATATTTTGTCAACAAAAAAGAATATATATATATATATATATATATATTCACACATTATTCTGAAAAAAGTGTTAAAGAGGACATTATCTGTAATACAGTATAAATAAATACTAAGAAATAAAATAGATCGGATACTGTTGCACGATCACTGTGATTCACATTCACCAAAATAATATTTAATGTTTAGAGTTGATTACTAACCTCATTTTTTTAAGGTTTACCAGGCCTTGAACTATATATATTTTATTGTCCCTCGATAATTGAACATTCTATGAATTTTGCATAAAAATCATTGGCATCTTTTGTGAAGGGATTAGTGAATGATGAGAGAAAAAAATCTTTCTGATTTTTCATTTTCGAAAAGTAGGATTGCTTGAAATCTTGTTAGTCTTCGGTGTTAATAAATTTTGAAAAATGAATTTGAAATTGCAAAAATAAAAAAACAAAACAAAATGTAAATTAAGTTTCTATTTTTCAAAATCTCACTACCATTCTTTTTACTCATTAAATATATGATTTAGTCACTAATGTTTAAACTTATAGGAGTGAATTAAGATAAGTTTTATTTTCTTGATGATATTATTTCTCTAAATTTCTATATTGTGCCATGAAATTTATCATCAACCAATGTTAAATTTTTCTAATTTTTTCTCTTCAACTTTTTGTCTCGATTATTTTTTCCCTCTGCTTTTCTCTCTCTAATTCTTATTTTGTTTTTCCAAAGGTGTAGTTCTGTATAAAATTTTATAAGATGTATAATTGACTTTTACAATTTAAAAATGAGATCATAATTTGATAGTTATTGTATACATGGTTGAAAAAATGATTTTGGAACATAGAAAGTAGAAGATGTCAAATACGTTTAACTTTTTGACAGTTAAATGCTCTTCCCATCTTGAAGGTTTATATTCTCTCCTACCAATACACCAAAACGTGATTTAAATCTTTTTCCCACCTCGAGCGAGTTCTGTTGCTACTCTTTATGTTTTTAATTAGCATATGCAAAACTTTATCCCCAAAAAAAAAAAAAAAAAGAAAGAAAGAAAAAGTATATGCAAAACGAGAAACCATCCAAATTCATAATCCACTAGAAAGAGAAATCTGGACATATCCATCACTTTCAACTTCGTTTTAGTTCTAAATTGGATGAAAAATGTTTGATTACGAATTATTGTATTATATACATCTAATTGCTAGACTCGAATTAAGGAAAAGAGCTTCAAAGAAAGTGGCGTACTTGAATTGATCGTCGTCTTCTGTAGTTGAATTTTACTCATCAGCATCTGTCGCAGCAGCTTAGAAGCAAGAACTCTCCAGTTTCCACCAAAAATATGCACAGATTCTATCTACAAACTGCGGCAAACCATTAGAAAGAAGAGAGCTAAATATATCGTCAATCAAAATCTCCCAATTCCGACAAGTAAAAATATGAAAAAAAAAAAAAGGAAAAATGAAGAAATGCGTTCAACTTATATATATCCACGTGAACAAAAACTGACCATTTACGAGGCAAAGAGATTTATGATGTGTTTTCTATCCTCCAACTCCAAGTGGGCTTTGCTTGTATCCGTGCTTAAGCCTGTCTAACTTTTTCTCTCTGGATCTTCTCTTCTTTTCCATTTTCCGCCTGTACATTTCTTCTCTTTCAATTTCATAGATCCCTTCCCAAAATACCTCTCCAGTCAATGGCCATAACCATGTCCGTGTCGGGTTCGGGTGATCGTCGTCATCGGCAGCTTCGGCCAAATCTTCATCCATGGCTTTCAACAATGTGGTGTTGAAAAATTCTGGCCACATGAATTCCTTACGTTCTTCAACTGGATGCTGCTCCTCCAGTGAACCTGAACGTGGATCTAAGTAAACCATTCTTCGCCCACTATGGTAAGCCCACACGTTTATCAGGATTTCCGATACCCGGCAATAACAGTGTCTTCTCTGTCCGTCCACCACGAAAACAAAACAACCTTTAAGTTGATCTTTCCATGGGTATAAGTGCTTATTACAAATATTTCTCAAAATTTTCAATTTTCATCGTGTTTGGCTAAATATTTAAAAATGGTAATAAAAGATTCTAAAATAAAAATAACTTAAAAGAAGCTTTTAGGAAAAGCATTAAAAAGCTTCTTCTTAAATAATTCCTTTTTTTTTTTTCCTACAAAAGCTAATTTAGAGTGTAATGAATGATTTTAAGAGGACCAAAAGTATTTTCTTAAAATCGGCAGTCTATTAAAAAGTAATTTAAAAAACAGAGTAGTTTAAAAACATTTTTCAAAAAACACTTGAAAAATGGTTATTAAAAAAATGATTATAAAGTAATGTCTAAAACATATATTTAGCTAAAAGTAATATAGTTGTAGTTTAAGCATATAAAAGAAAAGATGCCAACCCCACTGTACTAAAAAAAAAAAAAGATGCTTAAAACTAAAACTTGTGTCAAACTCATCTTTAATGGTGCTTCTTACAAATGATTATTTAAAACATTTTTTTCCCTCATAAAGAACATTCTAAACTTGGTAAAAGTAAAATTGCACCATAAAAGAAATCTCCTCACGGATAGGTATAGGATATTTACCTCCAGCCCTGAGGAAGCCAGCAAACATTCGTTGACATTGCCAGACTTCCTGTTCATGGCATCAACCGAATCTACAAACATTCTGTAGCTCAACTAGGAAATTTCAGTCACTATCCAACCCAAAAAGTTGCACTTCATATTGTAATACAAGGGAAAAAAAATTAAGCAGAATAATTTAGCAAATTACGTGAGAGATCTATAAGGATTCTGATATGTAATGTGCTTACCGGGAAAACATGATGAACTCTACGAAGGTAGGGGTTGGCATCACCCAGCTATGCAGAGAAGACCAACGACCTCCATCATCAGGCATTGGAGGAAGAGCTTCCGCATGTGATGGTGGTAGTCCATACATCTCCCTAAATGCATCTTTAAATGTGGTTCTGGATGGATGTGAATTAAAAGTGAGAAAATATTTCAACATAGTTTAGTTGTTAAGATATTTGTACTTCGGAAGTTGAAGATTCAAATCCTTACCTTAAAATTTGTTTTACACATAGAAATAAGGACTAAAACATTAAAACAAGAAATATGAGATGTTAATAAGGGATGATAAAAAGCTAACATGCAGAGATGGAAGTTGACTATTACTTGTCAGTTTAACTCTATATACATAGTGCTAATTCAAATCTATTATCTACAGACTATAATTAATGTCATAGACTAAATTGATACATCGATATTTATAAAAATATTAGATCAAAATGAGAAAAAAAATAAAAATTTAAAGAACAAAATATTAAAAAGTAACTTTGTATGCATGGTGTATGAGCTTCAACCATGTTTAGAGCAAAAAGAAAAGAAATGTTATACCAAGCCTTACTGTTTTGTTTTTGTCTTTTGAAATTCTAGTAGCCTTATTGTTATTCCTTCTTTTTCATTTATGCCAATTGGATTGCGTTTTTGGTCATCTCCTCGTTTTTCTTTTTGTAACTTTTCATTTTGGAAAAAACAATGGAAGCATTGACCAAAGAACATGAAGCAGTTATGATTACCATATTAGAAAATGTTGAATAACGGACATACCTGCAAAGTCCCCGATTGAAGATGTCACATACGGACCAAAATGGGTAACCATCGTCACTGTTTAGAACTCTATGATCCACGTCCAAGTGCGCCCAGAAGTAAATAACTTCTCCTCTAGTATTCTCCTGAATTGCTTCTTCCAAAACCTTTTCAGCTGTTTTAGATAACGAGACCTGCTTTTTAAGAGACGAGGCTCATCGTGATTTAGGGTAAAGAAGTAAACAAAAAAAAAAAAAAAACAGACTACTTAGCAGCATAGATGTATTGGCATAGTGCTTAAAAACCCTTCAATTTCACCTGTAGGTTATTGATCTTGAAAGTCCTAAGATTGCCTACATAAGAATAAGATGATATGTATCTGGAAAATCTGACTGTCAGATGTCAGATGGTTAGGATTATTATTTTATTTTATTTTATTTTTAATTTCATTTTCAGACCTCGTAACATGGGAAGCTGAAAGGATGTCCAGGTTAAGAAAAGGTAGAAATATTCCTTATCTGAGACTCAACCTCTAAAAGTTTATTTACATCTCTCTTAAAGCCTAGCAGCTATCTAACTCGGAAGAATATTCGCAAGATCTTATCTAACAAGTAAAGTCCCGGGAATGGATTACCTTCCTACCATCAGCTCGCCACGATTGGAAACCAATCCAAGGTCTTCTGTGAATTGTATCAATCTTATTTGCAATGGCAAACATTCCTCCAATCTCACAGAGAATGTGTTGATAGAATCTGTCTTTCAAAAGGGGAAGCTGCTGGGCGGCATTAATATCATCTGATTCCGACCTCAGTGCTCTCGTAGACTGGAAATTACAAACAACAAAGAATGCAAAATGAGTATCCTGACAGCAAGGAATACCTTAGTTAAGAATAAAGAGTAAGCGATGACTGGATATGTGACAGTAAAAGTCTTGTCGTTCCTTTTATTTGCTCCTAGTTTTGATGACACGATCTAAATTATAATAACTTCAAATGATATATGTTTAACATCCAAGACTGAGGATCTAGCAAGAGAGCACGATTGAAGGGATTAAAATCAATCTTAAATTTTCAAATGAATGACACTGAAGAGATTATAGCTAAGAAAACAGATTCAGATTAAAACAAACAGAAAAATATCAGCAGAAAACTTTGGATGGGAGAAGCTCACCAGACTAAGTCCACGATACCGAGCACCATGATGCAAAAATGGCCAAGCTGCAGGTCCGCTGTATATCTCGTAGATGCATACTGGCTGCCCTACCCTTTCAAGCTCTCCCTCCTCCTTCTCCTTTTCAAGCTTCATTCTATCGCACTTCCGTGCTTTACGATGTACTTCTTCCCAAGAACCTAATCTTCTATCTGATTTTTCTTGTAGCTTCATAAGAAATCATATATGGCCTCGCTTTTAGGAAAGTGACTAACATAAAAATTGCAGACAAAGACAAGGGTAGTGAAGAACCAAACAAGTCATAATGGAGAAAGAGTAACATACCTCCTCCATTTCAACTCTATCATGTTCTTCAATGCTTTCTATTTCCGCAATAATATCCCAATCTTGTTGGGTTGGGATATCAGGCACCAAATTCTCCTTTTCAGAACTGGAGATGTTTAAGGAACTAACAAGGTCAGAGAACTCCCCTTCAAGTCTAATCACTACACTAGATTTCCTTTTAACATCCTCATCGCGTTGCTCATTAAAAGATCCTTGTTCTATATCTTTCCTAAGGAGATCCCATTCCCACACCGCTTTTGGAAGCTGGGTAATGGAACCTGGCAGTATAACCTCTGATGGGAAATTGAGGAACTCCTCCATAAGACTTGCATATCCAGTAATGCACTCTGAAGCAAGCATATTTTTAGCAAGCAATCTTCCAGACGAAGCAATATTGTTAGCGATTCTAGAGAGCCTTCCATCAGAAATAAGAACCGAGAGAGCTCTCATCAAAGCATCCGGACTGAATTTCGTAAAAAGTATCCCATGGAATCCCTCAACAACCTGCACGTTTCAAGACACTATTATTATATTTTTCCTTTCCAATGGAGGAAGGGGAAGAGAAGTAAAACGGAGACAAAGGAAAATGAGAAATTGTTCACTAGTTAAACGACCATAGGAGAACTTGAATGAACTTACATATTCTTTAATAATGGGCAAATCAGGTGCCACTATTGGGATTCCAAAGGTCATGGCCCTAATGAGTAGGGGAGGGAAATCTTGTACATCTTGTGAAGATCCATAAAGAACAACGTCGGCCAGGGATAAAATATCATTTACGTCATTATCAAAGCCATAATGGCTTAAATAACCACGAGGAAGTCCTAAACGTGAAGCAGTTTCCTACACAAAAATGATTGATCATTACTCCGAAGAAATACTTGGATTTATAATATACAATCACAAAAATTCACAAGAAAAATGCACATGCAAACATTGGCGATGAATATAACACAGGACGGGGCCAGGATCCAACTGTTCCCATGAATTGCAAAGCCTTTGTTCTGTCAAGTTGTACAATCTAATTATATTCCATTCTTTTCAAATATAAACCACTGAAACGCATTTTGAATAATCAAAATTCAATACTGGGCTTCCATGTCATTGTGAATCATCCTGATCCAGAGTCATACGTATGAATTCTGGTTCTACAACATTAATACGATACAATACAACTATCGTACCCGTTAAAAATAATAAAAGAATTAAACCAAGAAAAAGAACCTGGGTGGTGAATCCACTGATTGTGCCAGCTCATACACATTAGAGTAGTTTTCTCCCGAACCCTCTAAAGGCATCCTGGTATTCATTTAATAACAAGATAACGCCATTCCTTTGTACCCAGCCTCAGTCTCAGTTGTTTCAGGAAAGTATCAACTTCTAATTACAAAAAACCTTCTTCTATATAGAAGCTCACCAAGAAGCCATATGCTTTATATTCACAAAAAAAGAATCTTTCAACACTACTTTGTCTTAAACGAATCCTAATGTTTCTTTCTCGCCAAAGAAGCCAAAGGAGAAAGAAGTTACTCAATCCTCATCATGAATATAAATTGGAAGTTGGTTTCCCCAAATGCCCGTCCTATATGCTGGCTATAACTACAAGTCCATTGTTTCTAAACGTAATCTAATTCTGCCTCTAGAATTTACATTTACATTGTGAATTTTCCTTTTAATAAAGTAATCGAATATCCTATCTGTTCAAAGAAATATTGCAACAACTAACAGAAACTTTGTAAATCTCCAATTCTTCAAGGAATTTCTCTAAATCTTAGTACAAAAATTTTAAATTGAGGAATTTAGATATAAAAATTCCCAATAGATTTTACACACCGCAGAAGAAGAGAATGAGCCAACAGAATCGTATAAGTTTTAGTGCTAGTTATACTAAAATTTTGAGAAGATAAGACATGCTATAATTCAATCCATATTTTCCCAATCTAACATATCCAATAATTACACACCTATTCATTTGAAAGAAAGAAATAGCAGTCACAGGCAAATTGGAAGGTAAAGAAATCTGACAAGCATAACAAAAGACTACCTGCAGAGTATCATTGCATCCGGCAGTGGAATTACCACACAAGAAAACAAATTTAAACGACTCTCCGGCATTTTTCTTCCTTGCATATTTAGTCAGTAGAGGTCCCATGCGATACAGTGCTGCAGAATATTCCGGTGATAGCTCATTATAGAAGGAATTTCCAACTACAAGAACTACGAAATCTTCAACACCGAATCCAAATTTCTCTCCAACTTGATACTTGAAGTGAGACTTCCTATAACTTTCAGCAGCCCAAACATCCACAGGTGATCCGCGGATCACATGAAAATTTCCAGTGTCGAGCGCACTATACAACATCTGATGGCAAATAGAACAAAAATAAGCAGTTGCTAAGAGAAACGGCAATTATGGGTGTCTAAAAGCTACATAATAGAAAGTTATAAATAGGTAACTTCACAAACTTACTGGAAGAGCAAAATTAGGAAACACAATAACACTGGCTCTGCTAAAAGTACTTCTCCAATGAGAAACAAGATTCTTCCAGCCCATTTCCTTGTACATTTTAAGACGCTTGGCCAGGACATCATCCTGAATGATCCATATCAGTGGTATTGAACAAAAAGGATCCAGCATAATGCTGCATATGTATAAAGACATTAGTTGTGCCATCTCGAGGGGAAAAAAGTTCACATATCTCTTCACACATCAGCACTACTAACTAAAGAAAAGGTCCCTCCAAACATTCAGATATTCGTACTTCCACATCCAAGTTCTCCAAACAACTTTGCTATCAAATTTCAACGAAAAATAAAATTCTCATTACATCAGTTTCTCGTTTTAAAATACTGGTACTAATCAAACAGAGGAAAAAAAATCTATAGATAGTAAATTATAAAAAATATTCACGAGATAAGTCCGTGTTTACTAACATTAATGTCAAGAAGTTCATAACGTGCAAGGTTAAATTATATTTCCATAGCAACTACCCTACCAAATGATATCAAATACGAAACCAACATGCAAGATTTAGTTTACAAATGGCAAGTAACAGTATAGATGTAGTAAGCGAGCCCAAGACATTATTTCCTACCCAAACATCATCCCGAGCCTACTATTTTAGCTTATTAATTTATATTTGAAAGTAAACGTAGTCATAAATACTTCTTTTAATAAACGTAGTCATAAATACTTCTTTTAATGGTCGATGCTGAGTTCAAAGGATAGAATGGATGCAGAGTATACATTTAGTTGTGGATACATCATAGCAAGAAGTTCTTCCTAATTACAAACATATTTGTTATACATGCAAGCAACAAACAAGTTAGGATTCTCTTTTCATTCTTTTGACAATAAACTATACTTGTAGAGCACAATAGTCGTAAACAATAAATACTGAATGTTCAGATGTTAAACCATTAAAAAAGCCCATAAAAAAGGACGTTGATGCCTCGGATGCAATAATCAATAATGTAATGCCTACAACTGCACCTTCCCATTAGAAATAGTGGCGTTTTCTACTGCCAGAATATAGACACCATATATTTAAATAATACATTAAATGAAGATTCCTCAGACTTGTTTGCATATAAAAAAACTTCTTCACCATAATAAATGGAAGGTTAAAAGTATTGTTAAGCATTGGCTCCCTTCAAGTTTGTAGTTGCTTAGATTGCTTGTACTCAACTCCCTCAATGACACGTAAAGTCTAAGACATAGTAGATTATCTAATCGATTGTTGTTTGTATCATGGTAAGAGGAAGGGCAAAAGTATGGATGATCATTCGGTCACCATGAAAGTCTGTTTGTTATTATGTTGTATTCCTTCTTGCAAATCACGAGTCAGTTAGCTATTCTTTCCTTGCTTGTGAAATTGCAAATAAGTTATGGTGTAAACTTCTTATTCTGTTCAATGTATGTTGGACTTTCTCAAGGGATGCGTATTCTCTTATTTTGTTAGGATGTGTTTAATGACAAGCCTGTAAGAAAAAGATATTTTGAAAATATGCATATTCCAGTTTATATTAATATTATTTTTGCTGGAAAGCACAAGAGAACTCTTGAAACAAATGCTAGAATACTTAAAACAAAAGATATTTGAATAGAATTAAATTTTGTAATAATTGGTTAAAAATTTTGTACTGATTGGTTAGAACTTTTGGTATCTCTTTTACTTCATCGTATTTTAAATTCGAAAATTGGAGGATTCCTTATCCTCCTATTTTGTAATTATCTTTTAATTATTAATATTATGGTTTGTTAAAAACATAGTAAAATACAATAAATAATATTATTCCACATTTTAAGAAGCTTTCCTGAATTAGATGAGCAGTGACTAATTCCATCTATGAGCACAACAAGTATATGATTTACCAAGGCCTCATATATGCGAGAAAACTCCAACCGTTATACACCTCATTTGAAAGATATAGTGTCAAATAAACCAACCTTGCAATAGCCTCCTTCCCTTCAAGAGAATCAACGATGATGCCTTCAAAACTGCAAGGATAAAAGTTAACCATTCATGCAGTGCTGAGTACTAACAGAGATCATCTTGTGCTGGTACAAATAGGAAAAGAAACAGTATAAGTCTATATTTATCATTTATGTACGTATTCATAACACATGTATGTGTGTGTATAAATATGCAGATAAAACATGCACTCACAGTGACCAATCGATATGGCCATAATTCTCTGGCTTTAAAAGGACAAGTCGACCAAGTTGCTGCCACATTTGACATGCTTTTCCAATGCCAACTGCAAAAATCTGAGACGTTTTCATAAGAATTATAATCATTTAAAAACTAACTGTTAACAGACATGAAGGTTTCAACGACACATCCATATCCTATTCCTGTCTGACAGAATATGCCTAGAGAACCATCCACCATGTGATTTCTTACACTAAGCTATTTCAGCAAATAAAAGGCAATAATGAAACACGAGGAATAAAAGCAATGTCAAAAAACTCACCTCAAACACATATCCGAGCTCCTTCATATTCTTCATTACAGTGATTAACAGCAAAGATTGTGGATCTTTCTCAGTGTTTCTCAATATCTGATATTTTCAGCAAAATAAAGAAAAGGAATAAATGAATAATTCATTTATGAAACCATAAATGGTTAGAATGCATAACGCATTTAAAACAGGTAGCCTTATTAGACATGCATTTTAGGACTCTGGTGAATGATCGAAGTCTACACATGATGATATAACATCATAAACATGTACTGTTATACGCACACCGGCAAATATAAACATGTAAAAGAACATTGATGGCAAAAGGACTGAGTAATAAGAGTTGTTAAGTAAAAATTCAATAAATTTCTCAAAATTAACCACTGCATCCAAAAGAATGGAGTTCAAGATTAAAACTCCGAATGGCAAGAAAATGGATAGTTGCTACTAAGCTAGATACAAGTCAAGAAGATTCAGTCACTCAGATAAAATTTTACAGGTTGTGAAGACTAAATAATGATCTACCTATCAATTAATCATCAGCGTGGGGACGAAAGTGAAAAATTAAATACGCTGTGATATCCTGTCAGCTTATAATGTTTATAGACGCCAAAAGGTTGCTGATTCCATATTGATGGTATCTTCAGCTTATATTACAGTAGTAGGTTTGCACTAATATCCACTGTTTATTTCCATTAACTGATCTTATCTTGCTATTCGAAGTTTTCCCCTGCAGTTCATTCTTCCATGCCTAAAAGGTTTAAAGTCACGTATATGCTAAAAACAGGATTTCAATTTAAATGCAGCTTTACTGCAAAAAACATAGTGTTTAAAAGATTTATATCAGCCAAAATCCAGAGCATTCTTGTGTGTACTTTTAACCAGCACGTAGAACAGAGAAGATAAAAGCAGTTCCAAAAAAGCTTATGATGTTTTGTTGTGGAAATCAACATCAATAGACAATAGTATTCTATCAGACTTCAGATTGCAGTTCTGGAGTGTAAGTTAGCCTGTATCAATGATATAGTGTAAATAGAAGAATTGCATTATGGACGCACAGACAACTACCTCGAAAAGATAACATTCTTTTCCAGAGTTCTCGTGCTCGTAACTTCCGACTCAGTCACTTAAACGATCAATTCCATCGCTAATGCCATAGAGCTCAATCTACGAGTTATTTAGGAGACTTAAGACAGAGTGAATTGATCATATGAATTTCCAAATTCTTGTCGCTGGACTTCAGAGGACAAGATGTTGCACTAGAGGTATGCATATCACTCTAATCAAAATATCGTACAAATATTTTCTATTAGAAAGCAAAAACTAATCAACGCATTCTATTATTCCACAACTAGCGGTGATATATAGTAGCATGAATTCGTCTTCCAAGGCAGAAGACATTGAAATGAAAAATGGAGCACGTAACTTAACTCATTGTCACATAAGTTCTTGAGAATGCAAGAAAGAATCAAAACTCGATCACTCACCAGAGCAAGCCTCGGTTTCCGAACACCTCTATGATCCTCGGAGCGCATTCGATCAAGCTCATTACCTTCTATAAACCTCCGAGGAATCCTCTGCGGCACGAACTTAAGCGTCATCCCAAGCTCCAACTCTGCGTCGCGCGACCAAGCTTTCTCTCTCTTTTTCATGAACACCGAAGTCATCCGACTCTCAAGAAACAAAGAAACCATGCATAGCAGAAACAAAGCGAAGCCAGCAAAAACGAAGAACGATCTCCTCCTGAACGCAAACCAGCCGTGCCGATCGGACCTGCCGTGGTTTGATCGAGAACGCGAGGCAGGGCGATCAGAGAACACATTGCCTTGCTCCTGATACTGCTTAAGATTTCGCCTAGAGAGAGAGCGGTCTCTGAACGATTGGAAGCCGAGACCACCAGCGTCATCGTCATCGACCTGTGGAGATGAGTCCGGCGCCATAGCTTGTACGCGATCTTCTTCTGGAGAAAAAATGGCGGGAAACTGTACTGGTTAGAGATGGCGAGAGGTGAAGAGTGGTTGTTAGGGGGAATGCTATGGAGAGTAGCGCGAAGTGGAGTGATTCCGTTTTTTTGTTTTTCGATTATTCTTTTCTGGTTCGTTTTCAGCGTTTTGTTTCGCTTTTATACCCGTCTCCACTGGGGAAAGTTTCTGATCAAGTACAAAATTACCCTTTTGTCAAAAATTAAAAATAATAAATAAATAAATTCCATCGTTTTCTCTAATTCAGTTAATGGGATATTTGACGGTTATCTAAAATATATTTACGTCAAAAGAAAAAATTGTTTGACAAAAAACTGTTAAGGAAAGAGAAAATAATACAGAATTTGTAGTTTGGTGCATAGATATCTAATTCAGTTACTTATATACATATATTTTTTTCGTTTCTAAAAATTGAGATTCTTTACAGTAACCTTTTGTTTTAAGAAGACTTTAAAAATCTTAACTAATTGAAAAAATTAAAAAAATAATTGAATATTGTATCTTAAAAAATAAAAATTGGTGTCAAAACGATACTTCATCAGTAATTGGCATATACCTCCAATCATGAAGTTGTAAGTTCGATCCTTCACCTCTTGTTATTTTATCAAATATTTAGAAAATAATTTTGGATTAGAATACTACGCTTCCAACAGTTTTCTTTTTGACAAATTTTATCTGGTTATATTTTTATGTGGCAAAGACAGATCCCAACCCAACCTGGCGAGTATATCTCAATAGTACTTAGCATATATTTCCCACCAAGAGGGTATAAGTTTGATCCCTTACCCCACATGTTGTACTAAAAAACTAAGCATAATTTAACATTAGTAATCTCTTATAAGTTGGGTTCATATATCTACTCATTATTTTATTTAATATTTTTTTTAAGGAAAAAGGTAGTTGCATTAAAAATTCAAAGCTACTTGGACTACCTTTGAAGGGATATTTCCCCATGCAATTTCCAAAAGCTAGAAAGGAAAGTAGGAAAACCAAAAAAACGTGTCTAAATGGGTATGCCGCTGCTCTGTTAACGAATGAACTGGTCAGTTGCTTTCACAAGGAAGGTAAGAAAGAAAAAGATATGAAAGTATAAATTAGGACAATCTTTTACACACCAAACAATCAGAGCTGAAAATCACTGTGAAAGAATCGAATTCTACCTGAAAATTGAGGCAATGCATAGATGGAGCCAGCTTAATACTAATTATATATAATATTATTAAAAAATATATCTTATTTTTAAAATCGGTTATTATTGGCTTAAAAAGTTTTAATTCTGTATCTCAAATTTTAAAAAAATTTCCAAATCTAATAAAGTTATTCGATGGCTCTCTGTTTTTCTCTTAATTGCACAAATCACAGTAACAATTTGGTGTTTTTTAAACGTGGAGAGAAAACCCTTTAACAGTAATATATACTTTTATCTCCTGCACTAGCCACTATCTATGGATTGGTCTCGAACTATACATTTTCTTTCACAATGCAAATTCTAACAATAAATTAAATAGAGATATCTTCCTACTTACGACGAATTATAAAACTGAGGTTATTTATTATATTTTTTTATGCATTAATTTATCTTAATTGTTAAATTTTTAATTGGGGTAACTAGACGATACCTAATACTAGTAAGTATCGAAATTTTATCCATATAATTATATTTCGCATGGATATGTTTCTGTGATAAAAGTGGAGAATCGGTACCATCGTAAACTTTAGCTCAGTGGTTAAAGTACTTTTTTCTTTTCTTAGAAGCCGGAAATTCAATCCATTTTCTCCACGTTCATCATATGCAGAAGAAAAAAAAATGGAGAAATGGTGCTTCAGTAATCAGGGAAGGCCTCGTGGGCTTTCCAGAGGTTCCCGACTCTAAATGGGCTTATGCAAAAGTAAGCCCAAAACGAGGAAAAAAATGGACCCAGGTAGTTGGTTACATTATTATGGGCAGTTCCGTAATTTGGTTTTATTTATTAGACATATTTACAAGATTTTTTTAAATAAAATATTTGCAATTAAAAAAAAAAAAACTAAATTAGAGTGGAGCTGAATCTGTGGGTTCGCCGTGACTGCGCGGATAGCAGTTTTAATTGACTTTATTTTTCATTATTAGGTTTCTTAATGCGCGTTTTAGTTGTAGCTTAGCGTCGAAAGCCATCATTAAATACTCTCCTTATCTTATCTTATCTCAAGGCTAGGTCCTATTTCACCCATTTTTGTTTAGCCATTTATTATTTAAAATTTAAATACTGTTTTGATTCTTCTAATTTTGGTTTTAATTCGTTTTAAACTTTATATTATTAAAATATTCATTTTAATTTCTATATATACTTTTTATTCAGTTTAGTCTATATATTTTTAAAATATATATTTTTGAAATGTACTTTTAACTAGCTACTATGTTTTTCTTTTATTGACAAAATTTTAGCACAAACTGTATATACAATAGAAATGATTTAATACAAATTCATGACTATATTTCAATAATTTATGGAGTAAAAATATCATGCTAGAATGATGATTAAAAAATGAGGAAAATAGATTGATTAAAATTATCACTTTTTAAAAGTACATGAATTAAAATGACTAAAATAGACAAAAATAAAAAATACATAACTAAAATAAGCGTTTTGAAAGTAACTACAATAAACCCAAACTAAAATTACATAGACTAAAATAGTATTTAAATCTTATTTAAATTAAGAATGGAGTAATCATTTTTCCTAAAGATGGGTTTGATTCAGTTTTTAAAACAATATTTTTAAGCTTATTTCAAATAAAATAATATAATATTTTGAAAGCTAGTTTTGCCCTAAATACTATATATACCATCATTTCAAACGTTCATCTCTTACTAGCTAAAGCAATATTTTTAAGTAAACATGATTTTTAATGGATATTTTGATGAGAGAAGTTGACAATAATTTTGAAACAGTGAATTATTTTTAAGTAATTAAAAGTTATTTTCAGATCTTTTATGTTGTTTAATTAAACAGCCAAATTAACTTTTAACGGTTTATTTATAAGTGTTTTTGGCTTAAATATTCATGTTTTAAGCTCTTACAACGTTTACCAAGTTTCATTAATTCATCTGCCCACACTTTTTAATGTATTTTTATTCTTCTTACCAATTTTACATTCATGCACTTTCCTCCCACTCGTATTTCTTTTAACACAAACTTTCTCTTGTCAAGTATTTTGGATAATTTCTTTGGCATTTATATTTTTTCTCACTAATATCTCTCGTCTTCATAAGCATAATTGTTTTTATTTTAAAAAAATATTTCTCTAGTATTTTATTTAATTTTAAAAATACATTTTTGGTACTACTGTGAATTTTTTTTTTTATATCAGTGAGTGTCCAGACTAGCTTACGCGCACCTCGACGCAAAGGAATTACTAATTCCTAAGGTAGGTGGTCATCATGAGATTTGAACCAATTCCATCTTAATTAACTCTAGCTCTTGTGGTGATGAAAAGAAAGGAGAAATGTTAATTTTTTTAAATAAAAAAAAAGAAAAATTGGGAGATTAAACCTCATGAAATTTTTTTATTAGTTCTCAAAAGGCTTTACTCAACAATTAATTAAAAATTTATTAGAACTCCAATATTCATTCAATCTTGGTCATCAATTAGGATTGTGAAAGCATCATTAAACTATTATTTTTAGTACAACAAAACGTATAACTAAATTAAATAATTTGATGTATTTGGATAAGTTCCATAAAAAAAATAATTCAAACACATGTTGAATGTATTTACAGATGGTCAATTTGTTTCACTTGATTAAATTCATTTATTACATGATGATTTTAATAATTGATAAAAATTTTGTCCATCAGATGACATTCATGTATTTACTCGATATAAGTCCTTAGCTAGATTTTTATGTACACAGAATCTTGTAAATATTTCATGTAGCCAAACATATGGGTCCGTCGTATTTAATACAACTTAATGCAAATTATTATTATTCTGAAATAAATATTAAAAATTCGAATTGATAACACATATATATAATATTCTTCTTTACAATTTTGGGGAACATGTATATTTAACCATGACAATGACATGTTTATTTCTTGCCCTCTTTATCTTGTTCATGTTCTCAAACTTTTCACAGTTCTAATAAAATATAGATTTTTTGAAATTATTATTTATTGTCTATTATGTTTACAAAGTATAAGTTTTTACTTCAATATTGCGAATGTTTTTAAATAAAATAAAAGGGTAAATKGCATAAATCACCCTTAAAGTATGGTAGATGTTGCAATTACACCCTTCAATTGTAAAAATTAAAATCTCAAAATTTCATAAAGGAAAAAATTGGACCCCTCAATATTTAATATTAAAAATTACACCCTTAAACTTGCCTAAATAAGAAAATTTTACCTTAGTTTTTCAATTATAAAAATAAAATCCTTAAAACTTTAAAAGTGAGATGTATTTTACACTATTTTTCCCCAAATTTCTATTTTTACCGTTGAAACATGGAAAACGGAGCGGGGTCTCCATCCACCAAACTCATTCTCGAGATTTCCACCCCTGCTCGCGTTTCATCGAACACCTTTGCTTCTCTGGAACCACCATCCAAATGACGGGGATGACGATCATAAATACCATCGCTCTTGCACCTTCCTCTCTAATCAACTTTCTTTTAAGGGTTTGATTTGGTTAATGACATAGTCTGCATTTTTTGATTGGAGGGGTTGGGGGTGTGGTCGCCGCTTAAGAAAAGGAGGAAGAGGCTTTTCATGGAGAAACACGAACGTAGACGTGTGGCTGAGGACAGGCGATCGGAGGAGAATGAGGTTTGTCAGATGAGTGTCCAATTTCGATGTTTCAATTGTAAAAAGAAGAAAATTTGGGAGAGAAATAGAGTAGAATACATGTAATTTTTAAAGTTTAAGGGTATTATTTTTCTACTATTGAAAATTTTATGGGTAAAATTTTATAACTTA